TGCTAAAGGGGGGTCTGCCCATCCCCGAGTGGGGTGCGCTGTGCTCGAAGCAGCCGCTGTCGCCAGACTCGCCCCTCGGGCGCCCAGCGCACCAGGACTGCGTGGGTCAGGGCCCGCGAGCGGACCCGAGCGTATCCTTCAGGCGTCAGGTGAGCTGTCCTCGAAGCAGCTCGCGCGCTCTCAGCAGTCGCTGCCTCCAGGCCTTCAATGTGTTCCGAGCAGATGGGGCCGGAGGTTCGCGCCGCAATGCCGATGCATCGCCGATGCGGCTCGATGTGGAGCCCGATGCATCAGCCAGACGTCGCCGATGCATCGCCGACGCATCGGCGATGCATCGGCGAGGTGGCGCGGTCCTCGGACCCCGTCTACTCGGATCTCCTGGGGGAGGCTTCCAGTCTGGTGAGCTCCGTCCGAAGCAGCTCGGGTGCTCTCGCCAGCCGCTGTCGCCAGGCTCGCCGTCCTCCGCTGCCCAGGAAGCGTCGGGAGGCGCCAGCAGGTGCATCTCGGGGTGCGCGGGTCAGGGCACGCGAGCGGACCTCAGCGTACCCATCCAGGGTGAGGTGATCTGTGCTCGAAGCAGCCCGTGTGCTCGGAGCAGATCGCTGCCGCCCCTCAGGTGCCCGGGAGCCGCGCTCGAGCTCGCAGGAGCGCGCGCGCGCGATCTCTTGAGGGTCGTCGCGCCGCGGGGAGGTGCGGCTGCACCCTGCCTGATCCTCCTCGCTGGGCTACACGCCAGTCAGGGGCAACGACAGGGGGGGACAGGCACCGCGGGGGCGCATCGCCCCCCAATCGCCCACCGATCGCCGATAGGGACTTGAGAGCCCCACCCCGCCTGGGAACGTTGGCATTGGCTATGGGGGGCCTACTGCCGATCTGTCGGCGATGTATCACCGATTCCGGGTCGATGCTGCCCCTCCCCCCATGCCAGCTCCCCCTCATCGTTGCCCGTCGGCAAGAGTGACCTTTCGCTGGAGTGGCCTCTGGTGCGGGCGCACCGATCGCGACGCGATGGCAGCGCCCTGCGCGCTCGGGCTTGGCCTCCCCGCGGGCCCCGAGCGTCGGGCAGCGGAGGCCACTCCTGCCCGGGGCCACTCGTGCGCGGGGCCGACCTGGCTTCGCGGGGTGCACGTCCGGAGCACGTGCGGACTGCGCGCTGGGTGGTTTGCCCTGCTCGTCTGCCGCGCTCGTCTGCCGCGTCGTTCTACCCGCCCGGGGGGCGCTGCCAGCGCCACCCGGGGGGCGGACGCGCCGCCCCCCGTCTCAGCGCCGGGACGAGCCTTCGCCGCGGGGAGGTGCGTCTGCGCGCGGCCGGATGCAACAGGCTTGCGCCCCGTCCGCAAGCTCCCTTCGTGAAGCCCGCAGGGCTGGGGATGCGGCGGACCCCAGTGAGGAAACCAACGCGCGAGTATCTCGAAGCGTCTGCTTGGTGTGGTGGGGCCGTCGCGCCGCTGAGAGACTGCGTCCTGCCTGATTTCTGTTCCGCCGCGGCGCCTCCCTCTGGCATCCTCCCCCCGCCGTGTTCCCTCTTGCCCTCCTTCGAGACGCAAGCAAACAGCATGAACGTGAATTTCCGGAGCTCCGCGCTGATTCCCAAGAAATCCTCGCGGGGCTCCGGAAGTTTATGTTTATGCAGTTTTTTTTCTTCTACTCCTTCCTCTCCTCGCTCTTCCCCTCCTCCCGTCCTCCTCCCCCGTTTCCTCCTCCTCTCCACCTCTTCCTCAGGCCGCCTCGGCTCGAGTGCAGTGCTGCCGCGCCTCGCGCGCTCGGGTCGCGCCCCTACCTCCTCGTGGTGCTTGATGGGCCCGCGCGTGAAGTAAACTGCCACTTGCGGGCAGCGGCGACGAGAGGCACAGCCTCGAGGTGTCGTCGTCCGACGCCCGGGGGCTGGATGGCAAGCGGTGGTTAAAGTGGGCGTAACGTGCATGACGATCATCAGGAGCTTGAGATGGACAGTGGCTCGTCTCATCATCCTCGAGATTCTCTCTTTTTTAGTGCCAGAGGGAGGTCTCGATCACCGTGTCGACGGCATGTGCAGCAAGGTGGGCCGGGTGATTTCGAACTCCCGCAGCCGCTACTTTGGGCAAGGGCTGCCATTGCTCGCGTGGGAATAGGCGGAAACGACTCTTGGCAGCAGCTCTTCGCTCAAGCACAGTCATGTCTGGATGCAGGAGCCTACTTCCAGGTGCTCGTTGCCAACGCAAGACGCAGCAGGGACGATTTCATCGACAATCCGTAACACCAGCCTGCATCTTGTCTGGCGCGGCAGTGTCATCGTCCCATGTTCGTCGGGCGTTTGTTCAACCTCGGCGAGCGCCTCAGCCGTACTCTCGCGGAGCAGGTCCTTGCTTGGGCCGACATTGTCGTTTTCGCCAGTGGGCAGTTGCAAAGATCGGCCAAAAACAAACGACACCACCCCACCTACGGCCCTCCATGTTGCGATGCGGCCCATCGGGGCCCGTAGCGTGTACCATGCAAAAGCCCGCGCCAGACGTCCTGGTATACGCTACGGCCCGTGGGGCCCTAGGTGGGGTGGTGCCATTTGTTTTCTGGTCCACAAAGAGCGAGCTCGGGCGAGGAACGTCTTCTGGGCACCCTTTGGGGCGCTGAGGGCAATCCAGCCGGCGAGGAGCTTTTGCGATAGACAGACGAGCAAGTGTTTAAGCTGCGGGGCTCGCTTGAGAACCATGTCGACCCTTGGTTCACTCGAGGCAGCCGTGCTCCATCGTTCAGCAGGGTCTCTCGCAACGTCAAATTGGCCGCGGTTTTCCCCGACAGCCAGCCCAGTGGCCTCGCAAGGTCGCGTCCTGCTTCCCCTCTTCCTCCTGCTCTTCATCCTCTTCACCAGCAAGCTGAGGATCCGGGGCAGTGGGCAGCGCTCTTCTTGTCTCGTCCTCGGACTTTTTGAGAAGGGCCACGAGTTCTCTGGTCTTCTCAGGTAGCGGATTGTCGCCGCGTCTCGCGCGGCCCGCTTAGCTTCGACCGGAGGAGGTGCGCTCTCGACCCGCGGATCAAAAAATTGTCTTCGCCGCGTGCCAGGTCGAGCCAGCAAGGGCAGCAAGCAGGCCCCTCGGGAGGGTGCAGTGCGTCGCGGGTTCACGGGCAGGGAGGGAAAAGTGCAACCCTGGTGCCGAGCAGCCTTGCAGCAGTCGGCCTCCATGGCCCCCATCCCCAGGAGGCTGCGGGTTTTCCCAAGGGCCAGGCAGCGAGCGAAGCGGCCCAGCAAATCTCTTTTAGCCCCGGCCGCTGACGTTTTTTGGTGGTGAATCCGCAGAGGGAGCTTCGTTGCTTCCAAGTCGCCTCGAAGGGGGAAGTGGTTCGGACCCGGCGCGTTCTCCGATGCATAGCGGGGCATTGATACAGCGACCTTTGCAGCAAGAGCTCAGGTATGTTTCAGTTCCCCTGGAGATCTGTGGGGATGGGTCGGGACCGGCCGCGCAACTCATGCAGGTTTTTTTCTTTTGTCTTGGGCCCAGTGGGTTTCCCGAGCCAGGCGCCATGGTGGTCGGCGCGCTTCGCAATCGGCTCTGCCTCTTGCTCCAAGCGGCAGATCTTGGGGGTCTAACAGCCTCGGTTCCGATAGTCTAGTGCCAGGAGCTGTGCCGAAAGCTCATGGGAGGCCGCCGTTTTCTCTGCAGAGCGATACAAGGCCTACTGTCGTAAGTGTTGGCCAGGATGGCGCTGATCGCACTAGTGCCAGTATGTCTCCAGAGTCTCCCGATTCCTCGGCGCCGGGAAAAGGCGAGGCTACTTTCGAGGCCACCGCCGGTTGTTTCGGTCAGAAACTTCAGTCACGAGTGAGAAGTCGTTCCCAGCTTTTTTTCGAAGCCCAGGGGCTCCCGTGAAATACTTGCTGGGCACGTGCAGTTTTCTCCCGGGGGCAGCCGTGTCAGGCGTAATTTCGAATTCGGTGAACATTTCAAGCGCAGGAGAGCGCGCGTGCTGGATCAGGCCCCACGTCAGGCTTCGCGAAGCGGGAAGGTCTCGTCGTAGGGCTATATCAGTACCTGTGGAGAGGGCCCAGTCCGAGTCCCGCAGTGACCATTTGCCGCGGCAGGGAATCACTCCCCACGGACCGCAGTAAAGTGCCCGCCCGCCCTTGTGCGTCTAGAAAGGGCAACGAGACGACCGACGCCAACGGGGTCTATCTTTTCGACATTCGCCCCCCACAGTGTGCTTCTTGCAAACTGCACTTTGGCCCGTTTACTGTAGCAAGAGCGGGAAGTGGCACCGTGTGCGTTCAGAATGCAGGGCAGCTTTTCTTGCTGGCTGGATGCCAACACGTCCTGTTTGGTGACGAGCAGACGTGGAAAGGCCAGAGGCGCAGCGCGCGAATGATTAAGCTCGATAAAGGGCTTCGGGTGCCGCGAGTGCTGGGTCAAATGGTGGGCGTCTGAGGTCCAACCCGTATGAATCCGCTGATTTGCGATTAGGGCCGCCGAGTACCCGAAGGCCTCTCCACCAGGGCCCGCGGCTTGGGATATCCGGGGGGGGGTAATGTCAGGTAGTCATGTCGGTCTTCGTTGTGATGCGCGTCGTTTTGGCTGCGGATCCTCATTTGTTGCCCTTTGCGGCGTCCTTTCTCCCCGTTGTTTCGGTTGTATCGGGGGTGGACAGAACCCCCAACAGTGACACGTCGATTAGTGAATTGTCCTTTTTCGGTTCCCGAGAGGGCGCCGCGGCCGTTATTTTCCAGGCTCGCGCCCGCCAGGTTTGGGCCTCAGGTCGTTTTCACTAAACCACGTTTTACTAAAGGGAGGTCTGCTCATCCCCGATCGTACCAGATCGCTTGTCGTCGGACGCTAGTGCTGCATGTTTCGGCGGTTTGCTCCCCAACGCGCTGAGGTCTGGTGCTTGGGGCGCTCATACTCTCGTGTCCGGCCCAAGCACGCAGGAGTTACGTGTTGTTTGCTTCAGCATGCGGCTTTTCAATTGTCAAAGTTTTTTTGGGGCGCTCGAAGCGCACCTCTTCTTCCGTTGTTCGGGTCAGAACCAGTCGCCCGCAAGCGCGTGGAGTCTAATATTTGTGGGACATGGTCTTCGTCTTATCCTCTCCTCTCCTCTCCTCTCCTCTCTTTTCCTCTCCTCTCCCCTCCCCTTCCCTCCCCTCCCCCTCCCCTCCCCTCACCTCTCTCCCCTCCCCTTCCCTCCCCTCCCCTCCCCTCCTCTCCTCTCCCCTCCACTCCTCTCCTCTCCTCTCCTCTCCTCTCCTATCCTCTCCTCTCCTCCCCTCTCCTCTCCACCTCCTCCTTTCCGCATTCCCCCCTGCAAGGCGCGCTGAGCAGGCTTCGGCATTCACTTGCGGAGGAACGATCACGGCTCGGCAAGGTCCTCGACCAGATCGACGAGACGCTTGACTGCCTCGAGCCTGGAACACACAGGGCAAGCGCAGAACAGGCCATACGGAGGATGATGGGGGATGGGCGGAAAAGGGCGGGGATAATGACATGATTGGGGAGGAGGCATGATGGGGGGAGGGGGGGGGAACGGGGAAGGGGGTGAACAGGGGAATGATGGGGGAGACTGCAATGGGGGAACGCGGGGGACGGATGGGGCAGCGGGGGGCGAGGAGGATGGAGGAGGGAGGCGGAACATTGGGGAGGGGAGAGGAGGAGAGGGATGGAGGGTTAGGGAGGGATGCGGGGTAAGGGGAAGGTCACGCCGCGCTTGCCCGAGCGAGCCGTCAGCACGCCTGAGATGGTCGGCTCCTCTGACCAGCAGGAGAATCACCTCCAGGCCGTGGGCAACGACCGTCGCGTCCTCGTCTCCCTGCTTCGGCTCCTCCTCCTTTGCCCCCCTCTCTCCTGCATGCGGGGGACTGGGGACGCTGAGCAGAGGCGTGGTTAGGCGGAGGTAGCACCCGAGCAACCCCGACGTGCAGCATCAATGACGCTGCGGCACGCCCTCCCGTCCCACCCCTCTCCTCACGGGGGGCCCACGAATCCCTTCAAGCGTTCCCTTCTCACTGCGAGAGGCGCCCCCCCGAAACACCACCGCCCGATGTTGCTGCCATGCCGACGATCGCGCCGCTCTGACAAACGGAGCTGCCTTGCATCCTTCCGGAGCAGCACGGGAAAGAGGCACGGACAAACAGTTAAACAAGGTGGCCAGCGAGATCACCGTTCGAAGAAGGATCGCACCCATTTGTATACCCGTTGCATATGCTCACGCTTCTGCTTGTGGGTTTCGAGGACACTTCAAGCGATAACCACATTTTGTAAACGGGCTGCGCTTTATCCGTGTAGCTGTAATTCTTTTCCTATATACGGGTCGGGATTTTTAGTGCAGTCTCAAACGATAGCCTCTTCCTGACAATGAGACTCTCTCCATCCTTGTAGCTGTCGCAAGCTTTTGCGACGAATGTGTGCGGCGCCAAAGCGAGAGCCCCACGTTGAAAGAAAACAACAGCGCTCCATCCTGTTCATTGCTCCAAACTTTCAATGCGAACGTGTGCGGCCTTACGGCGAGATCATCACTTTGAAAACCACCCCATCCATCTTTGGAACTGCTGCACTCTTTTACGATGGATGCGTGCGTCGCTAAGGCGAGAGCGGCATTTTGAAAACCACCTGCCCTCTATGCCACTGTAAGTGTTGCAATGTTTTGAAATCAATGTACGCGACGCTAAGGCGAGAGTTCCATTTTGACGCCGACCTCATCCATGTAGCTATTTCAGGTTGAGCTTCAGGATCATACGTGGCAAGGTTGCGATAGGGAGGAGTTATGTATGAAGAAGGGGGATTTGGGAGAAAGAGGAGGAGGAGGAGGTCCCCCCGGGAGGTGCTTCTCCCTGTTTGTTAATCTTTCGGAGCTTCGGGACCGTGGAGTTGTGGGAGGAGGAGGAGAAGGAGGAGGTGGCGCAGGAGGCGGAGGAGATGGTGGAGGAAGTAGGACGGTGAAGAGGCGGAACACGAAAAGGAAGAAGACGAGGAGGAGGCCGAGGAGGCGGAGAAGGAGAGAGACTCACAGGTTGCCAGTAGCAGCTTCCGCTTCTTCCAGCAAACCAGCAAGCCGTTGTCGCAGTCGTCGCCGATGGCGTGGGAGTCTGTCGCCAAGAGCCCAGCCAAGCCACTCGTGGCCAGGGCGATAACGCACCAGCTGGATGCAGCCAGGCTGGCTTCACCGAAGCCGCCTTGGACGCCGGCGGATGGCGTGAAGGACAAGGCCACCGCACCGCTGAAGAGCAGGAACACCGCCATGGGCGTCGGTGGGCGCGGTGCCTCCGTGGTGACGACGGACCTCAAAACTCGAAGATCAACGACCAAGCCTCTTCAAGGCGACCGCCAGGCGCGCCGCATCTTCGCGAACGCGGACCAGATGAAAGAGCAGGTCCAGCAGGCGATTCTGGAGCCAGACTACGACGTGAGGGACATGTACAAGTCTGAGGGGTGTTTTCAAGCCGTGGCGCGGAGCCAGATATTTGACGTCTCCTGCCTCTCCATGATCATCTTGAACGCTTTGTGGCTCGCGGTTGAGACGGACTACAACGACGAGGCCCTGCTAGTGAACGCCGACACCTCCTTCATTGTCGTGGAGAACGTGTTCTGCACGTTCTTCTGCTTCGAGCTGTTCGTCAGGTTCATGGCCTTCCGGGTAAAGGCAGACACACTGAGGGACTCCTGGTTCATATTCGACTGCGTGCTTGTCTCCTTCATGGCCTTCGAGACCTGGATCCTCTCCCTCCTCGTCTGGATCACCGACGGGGCCTTTGGAGCCAGCGGGGGCTCCACGTCGATCCTCCGCGTGGTGCGGCTCTTCCGCATGACGCGCGCTGCACGCGTCGCCCGCGTGCTCAAGGCCGTGCCGGAGCTGCTGGTGATCGGTCGTGGGATCGTGATCGTCGCCCGGACCGTGGTCGTGATCATGTGCCTCCTGGCCCTGGTCGTCTACACGTGCGCGATCGTCTTCACCCAGCTCGCCAAGGGGACCGACCTCGGGCACACCATCTGCAGCGACATGCTGACCACCATGGGCACGCTGCTGCTCGGCGGCATCCTCCCGGACATCTCGCCGACCACGCAGGAGTTTGCCAGCGAGGACATCTTCTTCGCGGCGTTCTTTTTCTTGTTCGTTTTGCTGGCTTATGTGATGATCATGAATATGCTGATCGGAGTCTTGGTTGAGGTTGTTTCAGTGGTCGCTTCGGTTGAGAAAGAGACTAATCAGGTCGCGTCAGTGAAGCGCGTGCTGCAGAAATGGGCCCCGGAGGCAGACATGAACGGCGACAACATGTTTGGCGTGAGTGAGTTTAAGAAAATGCTGAACACTACTGGCTGCGCCAGGGATCTGAATGATGTGGGAGTGGACGCCATCGCGCTGATCGATCAGGCAGACTTCGTCTACCGTGACAAGGACGAGCTGACGTTCACCGAGTTGCTCTCCGTCGTGCTCGGGCTGCGCGGCAGGAACGATCCGAAGGTGCAAGACCTCGTGCAGCTGCGCAAATTTCTGCAAGGCTCGACAGAGAGTAAACAACATGCATGTCATTACACTTTCGTAGGGTCGCGCGGATTTCTTGGGTCGGCGCTGGATCCCTCTGGCGGCGCCTCCGGCGGCGCCACTGGCGCCGTCTGCGAGCCTGGGAGCTCCCACGTCGATCCAAGGGGTACGCGCGGACCTCCGACAGCTTGTGCGTGTGTCGACAATTCTCCTCCTCCTCCTCCTCCTCCTCCTCCTCCTCCTCCCCCTCCTCTTCCTCCTCCTCCTCCTCCTCCTCCTCCTCCTCCTCCCTCTGGAGGCGAGATGCAGCGCCTAGAGTCGTCCCTGGAGTACATCATGGCCTCCATCGGCGAGAAATTCGAGAAGCCCAGGTACGCGAGCTGCAAGTTCGCCGAGGCTGCTGCAGAGGACGACGAGCCGCTGTCCTGAAGCCTAGGCTGCCTAGTGCTGCGACAGCGCGCGGGGTTCAAGTTGGGCTGGGCTTCAACCGTTGGAGGAGGCGTGCTCGCCTCACGCTGACCACCCGACATGCCTTGACCGTGTGCCCGATGCTTGCTCGATGGGTATCTAGGCTTCCCAGATGGGGTCGGCGTGGATTGGGTCGGATGATCACGCCGCGGCGCCGATGCATCGCCAATGCTGCTCGATGTGGAGCCCCGATTTTCTCCACGCCGTCGGCGCCGATGCATCGCCGACGCCGCCGATGTATCGGCGATGCGGCGCGATCGTCCGACCCCATCCACTCGGACCCCATCCCTCTTGGGTGACCGTGCGTGCGATGCTTGTCTGGTAGCGTCGGGCGTCCAGGGCTGTTGTTGGTGCATCACCCCTGTGGTGAGCCGCAGTCACTGTGGCCACAGAGGCCGTCAGCGGTGGCAACCGACCAATCACCGATCCCTCCCCGCTCGTGCATCTTCGTTTCCAGCGCCAGCGCCCGTCGAGACAACGGCGGCCCTCCTCCTCCTCCTCCTCCTCCTCCTCCTCCTTTCCCTCCTCCTCCTCCTCCTCCTCCTCCTCCTCCTCCTCCTCCTCCTCCTCCTCCTCCTCCTCCTCCTCCTCCTCCTCCTCCCCCCCCCTCCTGCTCCTCCTCCTCCTCCTCCTCCTCCTCCTCCTCCTCCTCCTCCCTCTCTTTTGGACCTCCTGGAGGCTTCTCGTCGCCATGGCTGGCCGTACCTCGAAAGCCAGGTCAGGATGGACCCCGCGAGGGATCTGGGATCGGTTTTGGGTGGATCTGGGCCAGGCGGGCGGGGCAGCCGCCGCTGCTTCAAGCGGCCCTCCCCCGGTGCGCGGACAGGGCCGAAGCTCGCTGGAACGACCGTGGGATGTCCGCTTGGGCCCGCACGCAGTTCCCTCCCCATCCCCCTTCCCCTCTTCCTCTTGGGCTGGAGAGGACAAGTCGGCACAGACATGAAGTTTCAGAGGCCCGCGCGGATTTTTTTGGATGATCGGCGCTGGAACCCGCTGGCAGCGTCTCCGTCGCCGCCCCCGGCGCGCTCCGCGCGCCAGGGAGGTTGTCTGGCGCAGATCCAAGAAATTTGCGTGGCCCTGCGGAAGTTGAGTTTGTGCCGATGTTTCTTCCTTTGGAGCGGCAATGGGGAGGGGATAGAGAAAGAAAAGGCAAGAAATTCGTGAGGACATCCGAGCGCTTATGTCTGTGGCGACGTTTCCTCTTCTCAGAGCAGCAGGGGGGAGGGGAGGGAGAGCGAGCAGGAGGGGGAAGGTCGAGGCATTCCTGGCCCAAGGTGCCCCCAGGATTTCCAAGGAGACCCCCCGCGGCCTCCAGAGCACCCCTCACAAGGCCCCGACGGCCCTGGGAGCTCCGGTGATCCAGGTCACCCCCAGGGGTGCGAAGATGGTTTTCGCTTCGCGCGCCGCGAGCCGCGGCCGGCGCTGGAGGGCCGCCCCAGTCCAGGCGGCCCTCGCGAGGGCGCGAGGGCAGCAGCTGCGCGTCGCGCATCGAGGGGCGCGGTGCGCGAAGTCAGGTGGACTGGGCGACTCGGGTCGGACGAAAGGGTTGGGGGATCGGGGAAGGCGAGGGGGACGAAATCTGCCGCACACGGAGCTTGTTTCGGGCTCGCCGCGGGGCGCCTGCTTTGATGCGCGCAGGGGGTCGCCGGAGAAGTGAAGCCGCCCGCGTGCGTCTGATTCGCTAACCTCCCCTGCTATCCGCCCTTTTCGTCCGCCTCGGGAAGTGGTTTTGGGATTGCTCCTCCACCCCCCCTTTCCCCCCCCTCCCCCCTCCTCCCTCCTCCCTCTCCCTCTTCCCAGCTGCTCGAGGGGATCCCCGCCCTCCATGCAGCATCCACCCGTCTAGTGAACCGTACCCTCTCCTAGCGAGCGCCGCCGCCAGGAGATCAGCGCCTGGGATGCAGACGCGGGCGTCGGGTGCGCCCGCCAGGCTCGCGGCGCGGCTGTCCGCGCTACGCGTCATCCTCTACAACCCCATGTCGCTCGTAGAGCCCCAGAGGATCTTGGACGTATGGGAGACCTTGCGTGCAGATATCGTGGTTCTACCAGGGGCCAGATTGAGGGCGAGCTCGGGGACCCCAGTGACCATAATGCCTTTTGGGAAGAGGGCCATGGCGCTCCATGCAGGGTGGGACAAGGGCCCCCTACACTAACAAACATGCGGGCTGCACGATAATGTTCGGGGGCATGTTCAAAGCGAAGCATCTTAGGGCGCTTACGACACCCCCCTCGTCGATGCAGGGGCGAGGATTGGCAATCGTATTACGCAACCACAGCATGGACATAAATATCATAGCAACATACATGCCTCCGCTGAGTGACGAGTCTGCGAAGAAACGACGGGCCGTCGAGAAGGGCTCCATACAGTTGCTCCAGTGGGCCATCAGAGAGCTCAAGACGGTTCCGACGAGATCAACACAAATACTCTTGGGAGACTTCAATAGTCGTATGGGCCTCAGAGGTGGACTCCCGACGGTTGCCCCGACATCTACGTTCGACTGGTGGGAAGACGAGAGGCTCCTGGCGGGCCCCTACCACACGGGCGAGCAAAACATCGTAGGCGACATGATCCAGGATGAGATATTGGCACCCATGGAAATGCATGACGCAGTGACAGCAGACAGATTCGGAGGGCCGACGTATTACGGCAATAAGCAGAACAGCAGCACGATAGACCACATCTTCGTGCCAACGGCGGTCAGAGAACATGTCCTCTCCTGCAGAGTCTTGTGGTCGCAGGCGCGGAAGTTACAGATGATCCCGAGCCGTACCCCGCGTGATCATGTGCCAACTCTTCTACGACTTACAGTATATCGACGGTGTGAAAGTAAGGCATATTCTTCTTTTTCAGATGGGATCGGGACAAGTTGGCGGCGGCTGTGCAGCGGGACCAAGACCGAGAACTTTTGATGGAAGCGTTCGAGCAGAAGATGCAGCTTCTCCTGTCGCATATCTCACCCCTGGCCCAGCAGGGCCATGTTGATGCGGCGTGGAGATTATGGACAGGTGCGGTTGCAGAGATCGGTTTGAGTCACTTCCAGTATCCACAAAAACTTCCCGACCCAGAACTTACAGCTCTTAGACAACGGAGACTGGAGCTGGTACGCAGACGACGGCAACTTCGAGAGGGGCTGCAGTTAGTCGGTTCAGATCTTTCAGCCTCCTCAGATATTCAGTCACAGCCGGCGTTAGAGCGCAAATCCTGGGAGCCCGCGGGGCTCCCAGGTTCGCCGTCGCCACCCCCTGGGCACCCTTTCCACAGGAGGCGAGGGCAACAGCGAGCGGGGAGTTTTGCAGGATACGAGTGATCAGATTTCATCGTTGCGAAGCATGCCGGAGGTAACGCGCTGCAGAACAGGGACCAGTCCAGTATCAAGCTCACCAACGACAGGTGCTACGACCAGCAGAGAAGAGTGCGCATCGCACCAGAGGCCCTTGAGGAGTATCTCGACAGCCCAGAGAGAGCGAGTGGGGCCCCGAGCTGCAGGAGCCGCAAGATATCAAGACCCGCCTTTTGAGAGAGACTCGAGCACATTGGAACCGTACGCGTAGGAGGCTGGAGCGCGAGATCGAGGAGGCCAACCGAGCTAGACGACACGCGGAAGTACAAAAACTGTCGTTCTTGTTAGCAGCCAAACAAGGAGGTCCACGGCGGCGCAAGTACAACGTGCCGCAGACCTACGAGACGAAGGAGGAGTGGAAGGACCAGCTCAGCCTCTCTGCCGCGGGGGGAGGTATGGAGGCCGTTCCCTTGGACGTCGAGAGACTGCTAACGTACTTCGATCAACCACCACCGCTCCCAGGAGATGAGGAACAGGAATGGCGTGCCTTTTTCGGACGGAGGGATTTCCAGATGACACTCCGACAGATGCGCAAGAGCCAGAGACGGAGAGCGGCACCTCCGTGGAGTTTCCCAGTCGAGCTGCACCTAATGGCCTCCGACCCCAAGTACCTCTCCGTGGGCCCTGAGGAGCACTTAGGAATGGGATGCACGCTGGTAGGGGAGACGAGTATGACGACATCAGCAAGAATCCTGGAGGATGTACACATCGCATGCCGCATGATAGGACGCACACCGATATTGGGTAATCTTGCCTGGGCTATACCAATCGCTAAGTTTAACGGTGAGGTGGGAAACTTGTCTAAACGCTTGATCAACGTGATGTGCCCGTATTGGAAAGGCTTCTACGGGGGCCTGCTGAAACCGAAAAAAAAGCTTACATACCCAGGGAGTGCGATGGCCGCCCGAATTTCACGGATTTCTGCCTCGTCGTCGCCGCGAGGACTCGATTGCCGTGCAGCTGTGCATGGGCTTTAGGTATCGCACGCAGCGCGTCCCACACCTGAACAATTTGCACGATATGACGAATGCGTTTGCCTCCACGACTGCACGAGCTCGTAGACGTGCGATAAACAAACTCTTTGGACATGCTGATGCATTGCTTATGCACGCGCGATCGGAGACCTCTGGGCTTACCATGATTTTCGAGGAGAGCCCGGAGGACCCCTGGAGGAACCCGAGGAACCTAGCTGCCCGACGCCGCCGAGGGGGACTGATGGGATTATAGCGAGGAGCCGGTAGTCTTTGCGAAAGCGGTGGAGCAGCCGATGCGCCAGTGAATCGACCAGCGTTCGACGGCTTCGGAGGTCAAGGCCCTCAGATGCGGAATCTTTGGGGGGACTTGTTGCGGGGCGACTACGGTCTACGCCGACGACGTCTTTGATACTATTCCCGTTGACGACACGACGCCCGAAACGATCGATACGACCTTAGAAGCGAGCGACTCGAAATTGGATGAGGAGTTGGAGGTGGTGGGATTGATTCAGAACTCTAGCAAACGCGAAACGGTACCGAGCCTTAGAAGCCATCGAGCGAACAAATTTTTCTCGCAAGAGTTCGCAGGTGGCAAAGCTTTACCTCGCGCCAGGTATCTGGGCAGCCGCTGCGCCTGGAAATTGTCAAGTATGGAGGAGTTCAGGTACCGCTGCGCTGCGGTCGACGCTGGGTGGGGAAAGATAGGGGAACAAACTTTGGACGAGCAGGATTTCCAGGAGTCTCAAGATTATGGCCTTTAGGGGCCACGTGGTGGCAGCCAGCGGCCTTATCTGCAAATGAGCCGTGTTTTTTTTTTTTTTTTTTTTTTTTTTTTTTTTTTTTTTTTTTTTTTTTTTTTTTTTTTTTTTTTTTTTTTTTTTTTTCTCTATCTCTCTCTCTCTCTCTCTCTCTCTCTCTCTCTCTTTTCCCCTCTCTCTCTCTTCTCCCCCGACTTCTCAGGCGCATCGACTGGATATGCTGATCTATAGCTGTCTTCGGGTCCTGGAGAGGGGGAGGGCCACGGAATGGGAAGGCGAACGCCCGCCCCCCCCCCCCCCCCCCCCCAGTTCAGTGCTTCGCCGAAAGTGGCGGCTGATGCCGATCCGCCTCGAGCAGGCGGCCAGGAGAGTAGGCTGGGTGCAGCAGATGGCCAAGGGCGCTGTCGCGCACCGCCAGGTGATTGCAGCGATATGGGGTGCACTACAGAACGGGCCAGAGAGCTTGGGCGCAGATGGCAAGCTCACGAAGTCCGCACCGCCGATCGCCGTGTATATTGAAAAAGGCGCCTGGACCTTCGCCCACATCAGTGGATCGGGGGACTTCTTCGAAGCCTGGGAGAGGTGGGGATGTTCTTGGAAGGCTGTATTCTTGGAGGAGGAGGTTCGAGAGTACTTTCTGAAGCTAGATACTAAATTATTTCGAGCAGCACTATTACATGATGGGGAGGAGCTTTTTCTTGCTCGACTTAGAGGGCCCGCTCGGGCTCTTAGGGGAGATGGTGGGCCCCAAGAGGAACCTGGTAGACACGTCTGCACGATAAAGGACGAGCGCGGTAACATATGCTCACACATATTCGACACTCGCAGCGCCTTGTTTGCACACCAGTCAAGATCGAGAGGAGGAGAACACGGAAGGCTAAACCCGCCTTTCTCGTCAGTGATTTCCAACGTTTGTCCTTGGTGCCGCAGTTGTTTTTCGACCAGGGATAGCGCTCGGCAACGCGTCCGCACGGCCTGGCTAAACAATCGATGTCGACTCCATCGTGCGGCCTCCGCTTGGTCCCCGATCACCCCGAAATCGTGCGCATGCCCCATGCGTGGAGAGGAGCACGTCACGCTAGATGATTTCCCGGACCATGCAGTGGAGCAACAATTGCCCCCTCCACCCGTCGCCATTCTGCCCAGAGCACCGAGAGTCCGACTGGCGGCTGCAGAACGCCCCGCGGTTGCCAGAGGTGGGCGCCATGTCCCTGGTGCTCAGCGGCGAGGTGGCGCCGAAGGAGAACGAGCGGTCTCAGCGCCGCCGCGCCGCAGACGGCGAGCAGCCGAAGGTGGCCAAGACTGCAGCCGGCTACAACCCCGCCAACAAGACGCTGATGGTGCTCATCATGAAGATGGTCATGCAGCTGGCGCAGTCGCGCCGCGCAGTGGAAGGGGTACTCTTCGACGTCATCATCGCGCCGCGCGACATGCCAGAGGTGACGCGCATGCAAGAACAAGGGGCCAAGTACAACGAGCTGGTGCAGTCCAAGGGCAAGGGCCGCAGTCTAGGCGCGCCGCATCTGTATGTGTTCGGGGGGCTGCTCGAGGCGCTGATCAACCGTCAGGAGAGCATCGGCAAGGCGAACCTGCAGAGACTTCAGGAGCTGAAGCAGCGTCTCGGCCCGATGGAGTACGCGGATCGCATGGACTTGGTCAAGTTCGCCAAGCTGGACAGGTGCTGCGACCAGCAGAAGAGGCGCATCGCACTTTGCCTGGGCGACGGCCGCAAGGAGGTGATTGGAGCGCTGGTACAGCTTGGGGGAGAGCTCAAGTCGGGGAGGCGCCTGCGACGCACATGGAAAGAGAGATGCAGGAGTGGCTCGAAGCGTTCCTGGCGTAGATACGAGTACGGATCAGATTTCATCGTTGCCCAAAGAGACGGAGAGACTAACGCGTTCCCATCCTGAATTTGTGGGCGATTCAACTAAGTCAGTCTCGACCGCTACCCCCAGAGCAACGCGCGCCAATTCGCATTTTTTGATTCACAACATGCAGTTTCTCCAGATAATCAGCGAACAAGGAGCGAGGCCCTGGCCGAGCCCAACATACCGCTGAGTGACTGGAAGGGGAGGATGAAGGCGTCGTCTTCATCCCGATCTATTCCACCACCATCGCCATCATGTTCCTCCAGGTCCCCGTGGATCCAGGGGCCCTTGAGGATAATTTCGCCGCTTCCGATGATTGCGCCCAGGAGTCCTCAGATGTTATCTTCTGCATCCCAGAGGCCCTTGAGGAGTATTTCGCCGAGTGCGTCAATTGCCCCCCCAGGAGTCCACAGGTGTTATCGTCGGGATCCCAGAGGCCCTTGAGGAGTATTTCCACGTCCCCCACGATTGCCCCCGCGAGTTCCAGTCGTTACCTAGGCCCGATGGAGGTAGGAGCGGAGGTGCCAACGGTGGTGTATAGGTATATTCAAAGGCACGGAGGAGAGGCGGTCATATGACTGTCCCCTTCCCAGAAGCGAGCGGTCGAGAATTTTCTGACGGCCCAGGGGAATTCCCAGGGATTCGGCTAGACGGGAGGCCCTTTTTTTCGTAGTAGGCATGCATGTGCAGGCTATGGTTCAGAGAATGGGGTGGTTTTTTCCCGCGGGTCTGGACACGGGTAACTCGTACCCGCGTTCGGAGCCTCGGGCACTGGGCCAGTTTACGGTCTAGCCTTGGGGCTAGCGTCCCAGGCGTTTTGGATCCTCTTTTAAGGATAGTCTCTGGGCTTTTGAATACCTCGGTCGGTGGACGAACCAGGCCCCAACGGAGTGTTTCTTCTTTCTTCTTCTTCTTCTTTCCCTCTTCCCTCTCTCCTCCTCCCGCCTCCTCCCTCCTGCCCTGTCCTCGTCCTCTTCCTCCTCCTCCTCCTCCTCCTCCTCATCCTCCTCATCCTAATCCTCTTCCTCCTCCTCCTCTTTTTCATCCCTCCTCCTTCTCCCGCCTCCCTCCTCCTTCGCCTTTCGCTAGAGTCTGAGGAGAGGGAGGAGGAGGAATGATGATGATGATGATGATGATGATGATGATGATGATGATGATGATGATGATGATGATGATGATGATGATGATGATGATGATGATGATGATGATGATGATGATGATGATGATGATGATGATGATGATGATGATGATGATGATGATGATGATGATGATGATGATGATGATGATGAGGTGAAGGAGGAGGAGGAGGATGATGAGAGGAGGAGGAGGAGGAGGAGAGGAGGAGGAGGAGGAGGAGGAGGAGGAGGAGGAGGAGGAGGAGGAGGATGAGGAGGAGGAGGGAGGAGGAGGAGGAGGAGGAGGAGGAGGAGAGGAGGAGGGGGGGGGGAGGAGGGGGGGGGGGGGAGGAAGGGAGGGAGGGAGGGAGGGAGGGAGGGAGGGAGGGGAGGGAGGGGGAGGGAGGGAGGGAGGGAAGGGAGGGAGGAGGGAGGGAGGGAGGGAGGAGGGAGGGAGGAGTGGAGGAGGAGGAGGAGGAGGAGGAGTGTAGGAGGAGGAGGAGGAGGAGGAGGGATGAGGAGGAGGAGGAGGAGGAGGAGGAGGAGGAGAGGAGGAGGGTGGAGGAGGAGGAGGAGGAGGGAGGAGGGGAGGAGGAGGAGGAGTTGCGAGGAGGAGGAGCAGGAATGGGCAGGGAGGAGGGGGGAGCAGGAGGAGGAGGAGGAGGAGCAGGAGGAGGAAGAGGAGGAGGAGAAGGAAGAGGAGGAGGAGGAGGAGGAGGAGGAGGAGGAGGAGGAGGAGAAAAAGGCGGGTGCTCTGGGCAAGCGAATTCAACATTCTTCTATTCGAATATGTCGGCCTCTGTACAATTGCAATGTTTTTCCCGCGGGCTAGGGCTGTGCAACTGCAACCGTTTCATCCGCAGTGCAATTGCAGTTCGCTCATTTTCTTTCAGCGAGCTCCTGTGCATTGGCTCCATGCGCCTTGCTTTCTCTATTTGCCTTCGCTTGCTCTGCACGATCAGTGAGCGAACGGTGCATGGTATTTCGAGCTTGAACACTCGCTTTCATCGCACTGAAGATGATAAGTGTCTGCGCTCACCTTCCACTCCACCCGCGTAATTGCATCAAACATTCACCTCGAGCGTGGCTCCCTCAAGTGTGAATCATGCCGAGCCCCCTCTCGAAAGCGCACGTTCGTGGGCGCCCTTGATATCAGACCCAGCGTCTGCCTCCTCTTCTTCTTGTCCTTCTTCGGGAGAATCACGTGCCCAGAGGATGGACGGATGAGGGCAGGGGTGGGGGAGGGAAGGTCGATGGAGGAGGGAAGAGGCAGATGGAGGAGGGATGGGGGAGGGAGAGGTCGAGGGAGGAGGAGAAGAGTAGGAGGAGGAGGAGGGCAGGACATACAAGCTATATGTTTTGAGTCTGACCAACCACAAAAAGGAGGAGGGAAGAGGTCCAGGTAAGTTGTGGGGGTGGAGGGAGGTTGACCTCGTGCCAGAAGGCGCGTGCGCGCGCGGGGTGATGGGCTGGAGCTGGGCTGCCTCGCCGTCACCAGCGCCGTCGCCATCGCCGTCGTTGCCATCTTTCTCCTCGTCGCCTCCTCTTCTTCCCCTGCCTCCTCCCCACCTTGCTCGCGTGCCTCGGAGCGGTTTTCCCGGCTTCGGCATCTTGTGTCTTCGCTCGGATTTCTGGCTCCCTTCGCTCTGGCTTCCCCGCTTCCAAGCCTGGCTTCTCGTCCCGCGGTGTTGGCTCGTCTCCTTGTTACGTACACTTTCTGGTGTCTCGACGTTCTGGGAGTTCCTGGTTCGACGTTCTGGCATTTCCTGGCTCAACGGTCGATCCTTATTTCGCACTATTTTGCTTTCTGGGTCTCTTGCTTCGACGTTCGGGGTTTCCTAGATCGACATGGCGGGAGTTCTTGGTTTGACTCTCAGGTATTTTCTGGCTCAACGTCTGATCCTTCCTCGTCGCCTTCGCATTCGGCGCGTTGGTCGGCCTGCTCGGCCACACCAGCTGCTTCTTCCTCGCTGGAGGTAGTTGCGCTGGCACGTTTCCCTGCTTCCCTTCTCCCCACTGCGCCTTCCAGTGGTGAAGCTCAATCGTTTTCCATTCCACCGTGCTGCGTCTTCTCAGATCCTTCCCTTTTTCCATCCATCCATCCTCCGTCTTTTCTCCTCCTCCTCCTCCTCGTCCTTCGTCCTTCTCCTCATCGTCCTCCTTCTTCTCCTCTTTCCCCTTTTCCTTTCTATCCCCGTCCTCATTTGTCCCCCCTCTCTCTTCGTACCTTCTCCTTCTCACTTGCCCCTCATCTTCCTGGCCCTCGGTCTTTCTACCTCCTCCTCCTTCCTCCACCTCTCACCCTCCTCTGCCCTCATTCAGCGTCCTCTGTCCCCATCATCCTCATTCTTACTCCTTCCTCCGTTCTGCACTCATTCATAATCCTCTTGTGTGATTGTCCTCGCCGTTCTTCCTTCTCTATCCTATGCCGTTCTCTGTCCCCCTCCTTCCTCATCATCCTCACCCTTTCTCCTTCCTTCTCTGCCTTCCTTCGGCATCTGCTCTCCTTCCTCGTCCACATCCTTTCTCCTTCCTTATCTCCACCGCCTCGCCCTCATCCTCCTCTGCTTCTCCTCCAGCACCCTCGCCTCCTCCTCCACCCCTCCTTCCTTCATTTCCCCTCCTCCTCCTCCTCCTCCTCCTCCTCCTCTTTCTTCTCCTCCTCCTCCTCCTCCTCCTCCTCCTCCTCCTCCTCCCACCCCACCTCCTCCCTCGTGGCCGTTTTTGCCTTCGAGGGCTGGACCTTGACTCGAGGTTCTGCTGCGGGGGCGGCAGGCAGCGCCACCAGAGTAGCGCCGGGAGGCCAGTGCAGCTGCGGCCATGGGGAAGCTCCATACCATCTCCCGCGGTTACCGCCATGGAGCGCAGGGCGCGACAGCAAAGCGGTCCCGACCTGCGGAGGGGATGGGAGAGGCAGGGGGAGGGCGGGAGGAGGAGGAGGAGGAGGAGGAGGAGGAGGAGGAGGAGGAGGAGGAGGAGGAGAATGAAGACACGCAGGGTAGGAGTTCTAGAGGAAGAAGGAGAAGTGGGAGGAGGGGGAGGAGGAGGAGGAGGAGGAGCAGGAGGAGGAGAAGGAGGAGGAGGAAGAAGAGGAAGAGGAGGACGGGAGGGAGGGAGGGAGGGAGGGAGGGAGGGGGGGAGGGGGGGAGGAGGAGGAGGACGATGATGATGATGATGATGATGATGATGATGATGATGATGATGATGATGCTGATGATGATGATGATGATGGTGTTGATGATGATGGTGTTGATGATGATGATGCTGATGATGATGCTGATGCTGATGCTGATGTTAATGATGATGATGGTGATGCTGATGCTGATGATGATGATGGCTACTGCTGTTGCTGATGATGATGACGATGATGTTTATGCCGATGCTGACGCTTCTACTGCTGCTGGTGACGCTGATGCTGACGACGGTGATTCTGATGTTGGTGGTGGCGATGATGTTGACGATGATGATGCTGCTGTTGATGATGATGCTGATGATGCTGCTGATGATGATGATGATGATGATGCTAATCATAATGCTGATGCTGCTGCTGATGATGATGATTATGATGCTGATGATGCTGATGATGATGGTGATTCAGATGATGATGCTGCTGCTGATGATGAGGACGATGCTGCTGATGATGATGATGATGATGATGATGATGATGATGGTGATGATGATGCTGATGCTGATGCTGATGATGATGATGATGATGATGATGATGATGATGATGATGATGATGATGATGATGATGAGCACGATGATGAGGAGGAACACGGTACCCGTTGAAGATGCGTACGGTTCTGTCTACATGACCTGAACACGACTCAGGCGAATCCACAAAAGTCGGGCCGCTCGCGGGACCCGCGCCTTGGCGTTCAATCGCGCGGGCGCCGAACTGCTTGGCAGCAGCACGATCGGGGAAGTCGAATTACGCCAACGCCCTTCCTTCTCCTCCCTCCTCTCTTCGAGCAAGCGATGCCGGTCGGTAGTGTTCTTGTTCTTTACGTGATGACGCAGCTGCTGCCCAAGAAAATGTAAGAGACTACTCAGGACGGCGTTTGTCCGAGGTCGCAGGGGGCTTTGACGGCCCGAAGGCCCTCGTTGTGAGAGGGCGGGCGCCCCCGCACAGTCCGGGCCAGCTGCCGCTCCCCACCCGCTCGGGGCCTCGCCCCGAGGCAGTCCGCCGCGGGGGAGCTCTTCCTCCTCCTCCTCTCCTCCTCCTCCTCCTCCTCCTCTCCCTCCTCCTCCTCCTCCTCCTGCTCCTCCTCCTCCTCCTCCTCCTCCCTCCTCCTCCTCCTCCTCCTCCTCCTCCTCCTCCTCCTCCTCCTCCTCCTCCTCCTTTTCCTCCTCCGCTGGTCGGTTGCCTTCCGGCGCCCCAGCGGAGCGTGTTTGCGCCTTCCTTCGGGCTGCCCGGGGAGGCGGTCTGGCGGGAAGCCTCGTGCGACTCGGGTGCCTTGTCGTCTAGGCCTCCCAGATGGGGTCGGAGCAGATGGGGTCGGAGGATCGCGCCGCATTGCCGATGCATCGCCGATATGCTGCTCGATGTGGAGCCCGATTTGCTTCACGTCGACGTCGCCGATGCATCGCCCACGTCGACGATGCATCGCCGGTACATCTCTGGTGCACCGCCGATGCATCGTCGGCGATGCGGCGCGATCCTCCGACCCCATCTACTCGGGCCCCATCTAGGACGCCTCTACTTCGGGCGAAACGGGGAAGCGCTCTGGGAGGCCAGTACCCACCGATGTGGCTCGCAGCGCCGCAGGATGTGCAGAGCGCCGGCGAGCCTTGCGGGGTGCCAGGGGGACTTACGGCTCCAGCCTCAAGAGTCGCGTGCTCACGAGCTGCCCAAGGGGACAGCTCTGGCCAGAGCAGCTCCGGGGCAGCTTCGACCTCCACCTGGGCGCCCCCAGAGGTCCGATTCTCATCGTCAGCAGTTTTCTCGATACGAGTACGAGTCTCCTCTCTCCCCCGATGATGGACGATGGCTGGGGGGGTGGCCCGCCCCCGCGTTCGCTTTTCATACAGGAGTTCATTATTTGGTCTGGCCTATGTCTTTTTGCGTTCGCAGCGCTTTCGGTGTCTCAAGCTGGTGCTGCCGCTGCAGCGTTGGCCTCATTGTAGGATCGGTGCGTAGCTTCCGTCGTTCCGACTGGCGCCCTCGCCCGAGCTCGGGCCGCTATTTTCTGGATCCGGGTCTCTCCTCGCCGTGGTCGCCCCTCTCCGTTCCCCTCCTCCGCCTCCCCCTGGTCCTCGTGCTCCTCCCGCTCCTTCTGTCGCTGTTACTGTTGGCATCGGTGCGAGGAGGGAGGGAGGAGGGAGGAGGGAGGATGGGGAGGAGGAGGAGAAGGAGAAGAGAAGAGGGAGGAGGGAGGGAGGAAGAGGAGGAGGAGGAGGAGGAGGAGAAGGAGGAGAAGGAGGGAGGAGGGATTGAGGAGGAGGAGGGGGAGGAGGAGGAGCCCCCCCCTCCAGGGGCTGTCGCCCTTGGGTGTGTGTGTGTGATCGAATGAAGTAGCCTGTGAGAAACACCTCCCCGACTGTACGCAGCTCCCCTTCTTCAGCTGCGCATATCACGATGGGGTCCTTCTTGGAATTCCAGGTCCGCTATGACACACGTCGGCGGACAGAGAAGACACCAGTGCAATGGGAAATGATGGGCAGGAGGTATAGGATGTCAGACATGGCGCGAGCGCACCTAGCTTGGCCTTCCCCCTCGCATCCCGCCCAATCCCCACCACCCTCAGTGCAGGCGGGACCTAATCTGCCCTGATGACGTCAAGTTTGGGCTTTGCATGAGGAAGGCTCGGGGCAGGGTCGAGGGAGGAGGAGGACGAGGAGGAGGAGGAGGAGGAGGAGGATGAGGATCAGTGTAAACCCAAGAGCCATGACCCATGTTGGATTGCACCCTCCGTCCAAGCTCCCTCTTCATAGGCCCCTACAACGGTTCATTTCCATTTAGGGATCTGCATCGTTGGAAGACAACCGTTTGAAGACCCAGAAGCATGCCAAACCATAGTTCGCGGGATTCCAACGCCACAGATCAACCTGACTGTTGCGTCTTGACGATCCTGGATCGTGCCAGAACGCCATTCTTGTGATTTCAACTCCGCGAATCAAGGTAACTGTTGCACCCGCAAAATCTGGAATCCTTCCAACACGCAATTTCTGGTACATTGATCGTGGGAATCCGTGAAAGCCTTTGCAATGTTTTGAACGAATATGCGCGGCGCTGAGGCGAGAGCCACATTTTGAAAAGGAACGGCCTCAATCCGTGGAACTCTTGCACATTCAAAAACGAATGTGCGCGGCGCTAAAGCGAGAGCCACATTTTGAAAAGGAACCGCCCTCAATCCTTGGAACTCTGGCAAATTTTTAGAATGAATGCGCGCGGCGGTAAGGTGAGAGCCACATTTTGAAAACGGGTTATCCTCAATCCGTGCAGCTCTTGCACATTTTTCGGACGAATGTGCGCGGCGCTACGGCGAGAGCCACTTTTTGAAAACCATCCGCCTTCCATCTGTGAAGCTGTTGCCAATTTTCAAGCTTAAGAACCATAAATGGTGAGGAAGTCTCAGGCGAAGCGCCCAGCCCGCCCGATAAACTGGCCTCGGGGTGCGACAGGGAGAAGCTGGTTTGAAGGAAAAGGAATGGAGGAGGAGGAGGAGGGGGAGGAGGAGGAGGAGGAGGAGGAGGAGGAGGAGGAGGAGGAGGAGGAGGTGGGAAGACGAGGAGGAGGACGAGGAGGAGGAGGAAGAGGAGGAGGAGGAGGTGGAGGAGGTGGAGGAGGATGAGGAGGTGGAGGCGGAGGCGGAGGCGGAGGAGCAGGAGGAGAGGAGGAGGAGGAGAGAGGAGGAGGAGGAGGAGGAGGAGGAGGAGGAGGGGAGGTGGAGGAGGAGGAGGAGGAGGAGGCGGAGGCGGAGGCGGAGGCGGAGGCGGAGGACGCCCGGGTGTGCTGACGGGCGCGCGCTCACGGAGCAAGAGGTCCTTCAGCTGGCTGCCGCCTGCGGGCTCTACACCGACTCCCGCCAGGCATTCTGGCTCTTTGGCATCAACGGGGCCCGGATCGGCTTGGCGCTCCGTCCGCTCGGCGGCGGCGGGGTGATCAACTTTTGGCTCCGGCAAGCCAAAGTGACCGTCGCCGGCAACCCGGAGGTCCGAGAGCGGCTCCTCGAAGCAGTGCTTGCGTGGACCGTCCCCTGGGCTGGGAACCAGCCCCGGCCCCACGCCGCGGCGGCGCCTCCGCCCGCGCCCGGCGCTCTGGGCGCGCCGCCCGCGCTGGCCCTCCACGCTCCTGCTGCCGCCGCGGGCCTGGCCGCCGCTGCCCCTCCGACGGCTGCTGCTGCTGCCACCCCGGCCGGGGCTGCGGGGGCGCCCCCGGCCGCTGCCTCCCGCCGCCGCCGCCGCCGCCCCCGCCTGTGCTCCTCCTTCCGCTCCCGGAGCGCAGAGCGCGGCCGCCGGCCCCGGGGCTAGCCGCGCGCGCCCCGGGCACTCGCTCCCTTTTTTCCTCCCGCGCGGGCCCTTCTGGTAAATGGGCGCTGCGTGTCCCTTGGCTGTCGTCGTCGTCGCTGTTTTCGCCGCCGCTGTCGCCGTCGTTGTCGTCTTCGTCGCCGTCGCCTTCGTCTTCGTCGCCCTCGCCGTCGTCGTCGTCGTCGTCGCCGTTGCTTCTCGTCGGCGTCGCCCTCGTCGTCTCCTGTCGTCGCCGTCGTCCCGTCGCCCTCCCGGCTGCCCCCTCCCCGGGGCGTCTCCTCCCGCCGCCCTCCTCCCTCTCCCCTTTTCCCTCGCCTGGCTGGTGGTGGTGGAGCTGTGGCGGGGCGGGGGAGGACGACGAGGTTCCCTGTTTCGACAACGCGCGCACTCGCGCTCGCGCACTGGAGCTCCGCCATTTGGTGGCGTGGCAGGCGCTGCTCCCAGGGGGCCCCTACAACTGTCTCCCATGAAGCGACACCCGGCCCCCCTGGGAGCGGGCGCGCGCGCCGGGCACTTGCCCCTCTGCCAGCGCCCTACTCGGGACTGCGTATGCCTGCCCCTTGCCCGGGGCTTCGGCGCCAACGCGCCCCACTTGGGTGCGCCTCAACCAGAACCAGAACCAGGAGGAGGAGGAGGATGAGGAGGAGGATGAGGATGAGGATGAGGATGGGGATGAGGATGAGGATGAGGAGGACGAGGAGGAGGAGGAGGAGGAGGAGGAGGAGGGAGGAGGAGGAGGAAGGAGGAGGAGGAGAGAGGGGTGAAGGAGGGAGGTGGAGGCGGGGGAGGAGGGGGAGGTGGAGGAGGAGGAGGAGGGAGGAGGAGGAGGAGGAGGAGGATGTGCGCTCGCTGGGGTCCAGGGTGGGGGGCGGGGTCTCGGGGGGGCTGCGCCTCCTCCTCCTACTCCCTTCCTCCTCCTCCTCCTCCTTTCTCACCCGACTCCCTCCTCCTCCTCCTCTTCCTCCTCCTCCTTGCTCCTCCTCCTCCCCCTCCTCCTCCTCCTCCTCCTCCTCCTCCTCCTCCTCCTCCTCCTCCTCCTCCTCCTCCTCTTAGTCCGGGTGCGGTGGCGTTCGGAGGTTTTCGTTGGTTCTCGGCCATGTTGCCAGCCTTGGGATGATCTCCAGCAGCTGCGCCTCGCCGAGAGCGTTCCAGGGGTGCCCGGATCGCCCCGAAGGGCCGCTGGAGAGCCGAGGTATGTCCCGGAAGCTTGGATCGGTGCGTGTGCCTAGGCGTGCTCGCGTCATGACAACTTCACGACGGGCGGCTTTTGGCCTCTCGCATCCACCTCCAGGGGCCCTAGGCCAGGGCCCAGGGGCGTCAAAGAAGACTCGGGATGAGCAGATGGTGCCAGGGGAGTGGCTCGAACCTCCTGGGGTCCCGTTTTGAAAACGGACTACGACATCGGAGGTCTGTGTTTAGCAGTCCTGCAGTCCCTCAGGGAGTCAGGTGCTACACGAGCCATGTGACCCAAGGCGTCAGGAGGCTCGATCTCGTCGACGTGTGGGCCCCAGACCTTGCGACCAATTCCCCGGAGTTGGTTTTTCGTGCAGGGTCGTGTTTCGTTCGTGGCCTCGGGGGCCGAGAGTTGGGCCTCCGGAGGCCAAGCATGGTGTCAAGCTGGCCGCCCCGAGTTTTTCGAGGCGCGGGGGTGTCTGGGACATCGGAGCGGTGACGGACAAGAGGGGCGCTCCCAATAATCAGGGGCGCCGACAGGGGGGGAGTGGGCCGGGGGGGAGAGATCGAACCCCTGCCGCCCATTCTTCGCCAATCGGGGCCTGAGCACCCCATCACGCCCAGCGTTTTGCTATCGCATCGCCAACTCCAAGTCCATCCCCCCCCCCACTGAGTCAGTCCCTCCCCGTCGTTCCCCCTCGCAGGAACGCGCAACGCGTTCTCGAAGAAGTGGAGGTGCAAGGGCGAGCCCGGCGTCTCTCGCCTCCTCGTCAACTTCAAGCGGGGCGACTTCGTGGATACGAGGGTAAACCTACAATGTAGTTTTAGGGCCCAGGGGGTCTTTTGGGTTTGGCTCCTCCTCTTTCCCCTCCCTCCCCCCCCCTCCTGCCCCTCCTCCTCCTCCTCCTCCTCCTCCTCCTCCGCCGCTCCCCCCCGCCTCTCGAGTGATGTAGAGCGTCAGAGGCTACCGCAGACACAGCAACCGCCGCAAAGAGTCGTGCTCTTGCCGCAGCGACGCCCTCTGGTTTCCTGTTCGCGCCTCGCGCCCAGGGTTGGAGGCCATGCCGGCAGCGAGTGGCGGCCCGAGAGGAGGCTGCAGGATGGTCCAAACGTCCAACGCTCTACTCCTATTCTCCCTCCTCCTATTCTCCTCCTCCTCCTATTCCTTCCCTACCTTCCTCCTCCTATTCCTCCTCCTCCTCCTCCTCCTCCTCCTCCTCCTCCTCCTCCTCCTCCTCCTCCTATTCCTCTCCTCCAGGACAGCCAAGCCTTCCTCCCTCCTCCTATTCTCCTCCTCCGGAGGTTGTGAGGCTGCCTGACTGTATCTTGCCGTGCATCCACGCGCCAGCGGGCACATTTGATCGAGCCTCACCGGTTCCGTGCTGTTGAGGTGGGCCAGGCTGTGGGCCCCGGAGGGGCCAGGAGCGCTCGCGGTGCTGGCCCTCGCCCCCTCGGGCAGGCGCGGGTCCCGAGGCGGTGTTCCCGCTCGCATCTGTGTGCTGCCCTGATTCCTCCTCATCCTTCTTGCCCTGTCACTGCATCACGGTGTGGATTGCCCTCGCAGGACATCGTGGTGGACCCGTCGATTCAGAAGGGTATGCCCCACTCCTTCTTCAACGGCAAGACTGGCATCGTCTTCAACGTCAATCGCAATGCTCTCGGCGTGGAGATGACGAAGATTGTGGGTAACAGGCAGCTGAAGAAGCGCATCCACGTGCGGGCAGAGCACTGCAAGAAGTCCCGGTGCAACGAGGCCTTCCTCCAGCGCGTCAAGGTCAACGACCAGAAGAAGCGGGACGCGAAGATGCTTGGCAAGAGCCTGAAGCTTAAGAGAGAGCCCGAGGGACCTAAGGAGATGAAGATTGTCAAGGCCAAGCCCGAGGACGTCGTTGTGCTT